AAAGACGAATAAAAACATGAAAGAAGACCAACCACCAAAGAGCTCACCATTTAAAGACCTTAAATCGGTTTTTGGTAAGAAGAAAGGAAAGAACGTGGGTGAGTCTAGTATTCAAAGGAAGGAAGATAGCAAATTAGAAAGCTTTGAACAAAATCCAAATAAAAAAGAAACTGAATACGATATAGAATCCGAGTTTGAAGAAAGTGATTTCGAGGACGGGCTAAAGAACAAGATGGCAGATATTGCTGATATGTCCATGGGGGCATACAAGAAACGGATAAGAGACAATGTTGGTCCTGGTTTAATACAACCTACAATTCCCGCCACTGCAACATTCGAGCTAAAAGGACACATTCTTACTACACTTAAGGATGTACCATTTTCTGGGAAGGATCATGAGGATGCTTACAAACATTTAGATGAGGTCAATGACATTGCATATTATTTCAATGTCCCGAATGTTCCAAGAGAGACTGTGTTGTTAAGGATGCTTCCCGTTACTTTTAAGGGAGCTGCAAGAGACTGGTTGAAAGCACTTCCACCCGGTGCAATTACTACTTGGGCACAGATGCGAGAGCAATTTTTGGAACAATTCTTCCCACCTTAAAAAATAGCTAAACTCAAGAAGGCGATAGCCAACTTTGAGCAAAATCTGGGTGAATCACTTTATAAGGCATGAGAGTGTTATAAAGGGTTACTAAGAAATTGCCCTCAAAATGATCTTAACATACAACAAGAAGTGTCTATATTCTATGATGGGGTGAATGTCATGACAAGGAAACTCCTTGATTCTCAAGGACCACTTACTAAGAAAAATCCGGGTGAAGTAAAGGAGTTGGTTGAAGAGTTCTCAAAGCATTCTCGTGAATACCATAATCCAAGACATGATGGAGCTAAAGGAATTGGGGGAGGAAATTCTGAAGACATGGCTGTTGTACTAGCTATGCTTGACACTATGGATAGAAGAATGAACAAGATGGACCAATCAATTCATGCTATTAGAGTTGGTTGTGAAAGGTGCAATGGTCCACACTTAACAAAAGATTGCCATTTGGATGAACATGGAAATAAAAAGGTGCAAGTTTGCTACTCAAGTGGGGACAAGTATGATGAAAATTGGAGGAAACCAAAATGGGAGTGGTTACCATATGATGAATACAAGAAGCAGAAAGAAGAGAAGTATAGGCAGATTGGCCAAGGCTTCTACCAAAAATAACAACCACCTCTCGAGAAAAAAGTTGAACTTGAATCTATGTTACATAGATTTATGGAGGCTTCCAAGAAAAGGCACGATGAAACAGATGTAGTGATAAGGGAGCATCAGAATATCATGAAGGAACAACAAGCCTTGCTAAGAAATCACTAAGCATTGATCCAAAATATTGAAGTCCAACTAGGTCAACTAACTACTCTTGTATATGATAAATTATCTCCAAAAATCCCCGAGAAAAAGCCTCAATCACATGTCATGGTAATAGAAACCGAAGAGGATACCATTTCTGAGTTCCTTGAAGTACTAGAATTCGATCCACCTCAGTATAAACCAAGGCCAAAATGTCAAAATATCATCTCAAATATCAGAGTAAAGTATCCCAGGCTATAAAAACTATGGTGTGTGCCATGCGATCATCCCGAGCCCTTCCCTTTGCTAGCAGAAGTACCTGAAACCAAACTGAAACTGTAAGCATGAAGCTTAGTGAGCTCCCCCAAACTACCATATACTATACACATAACATATAACATATAACATAACTTTAGGACTACTGTCAGCTGCATCGGGACGAACTCGACATCGGCTTACCCGACATCGGACTCCTGTCCGGCATCGGGCTCACCCCAGCATCATACCACGTCTGGCATCGGGCTTGCCCCGACATCGGGTTTACCCCGACATACACACTGCATAACACATAACATAAACACATAATATAAACATATAACATACATCGAGTTTGCCCCGTTATCGGACCGAAGCCCGGAACACATAACACATAACATATAAACTAACATACATCAGGATTACCCCGACATCAGACCTAGGCCTGGAACACATAACACATAACATGCATAAATCACAAAGACATCAAGCATACATAAATACTTCTCGGGACCGCCACGACATCGGACCGAAGTCCGGGACACATACTCTACATCGGGATAGCCCTGGCATCGGACCGAACCCGGAACATACTAACATACATAAATGGGCCGATATTGGTGCCTTCGACCCGTTTCTACTGAAGGAAGACTCACCTTTCAAACTGGATGTTGATCTCATGCGTGAGGAATCTCTGCTGGCTGCTCCCACTACTCCCCGACTAACTCTATACAATAATACTTAGTTAGAAAACTGAAAATCCATCTAATGGTAAAATGACAATTTTACCCCTAGTCAAAGTCAACGCTCTGGTCAAAGTCAACATTCTGGGTTGACCAACTCACTGATTCAACCTTTCAACTCGCCGAGTTCTATAACTCAGAAATCATGGAATTGGGACTCAACTCGCCGAGTCGTCCTCCAACTTGTCGAGTCCTATCGAGCTGCTCATAGTCGCGACTTGGCGAATCAGCTCGTCGAGTCCCTCTACAGACTCGTCGAGTTCTACATAAACTGAAACGGGACAACGCGATCCAACTCGTCGAGTTCCCTCATGGACTCGACGAGTCCTTCTGTCTGAATTGGCCATCTTAACAGATTAAGCCCTTATTTTCTAGATTCCAGGTCCATAGCTCGTCCGTTCATTGAAATGATCTTTCTAAGGGTAAAGTTTCCAACTTTACCCGTTGATAGCTCTTCTTGAAGGGTTTAGACAAAACCCTAATTCCATTAGGACATAGATCTTGTCCAAAAAGCCTTAGCATCTCAAACCAAAACATGCAAACCTAGATCTAGGGCCTAGGTACCAGTTAACCACGAAAAGTCTCAAGCTTGCTTCCATGTATGGCCTTTTTAAGCTCAAAAAGCCATTATAACGTCCTTAGCACTTGCATGGGGACTCTAAGGGCATAAAGTTTGTACCTTTATGTCCTCATAGCCCCTCTAGACACTAGATTTGGAAGAATACCCACCAGGGTCGATCCTTTCCCAAAAGCTATCAATCTTGGACTAAAAACCCACATAAAATGGAAATGAATAGATCTAAGAAAAGAATGATCAAGTTTGAGGCTTCTTTACCAGAAACTGCAGCTAAAGGGATGAAGCTTCTGGATCTACTCTTTCTCTCTTGAGTCATCTACCTTCCTCTTCTTTCACAAGCTTCAAAAGAAACAAAGAACACTAAAAATGGCTTTCACACTCAAAGAAGACTCTAGGGTTTCGTGGATGAGGGTTTGAGACAAGGAGACTGTAAATGAGGCCAATTGGTGGGGATTAGGATGCTTAAATAAGGTGCAAAACCCTGAAATTAGGGTTTCACCCTGGCCGGGCCACTCGCCGAGTCAGAGACTCGACTCGTCGAGTTGATAACTTAAACCTCACGCAAAGACTGCCCTTTACTTGACGAGTTAGGGCCACCAACTCGTCGAGTCCTTCTTTCAAAATAAATAAATAATTAAATTAAATGCGTACCAGGGAACCAGGTGTTACATGATCGATTGAAATGAGCACTAAGTTTTTGTTCCGTATTAAGATTTGACGAACGTGAAAGCAGGAGTTGAATGTGAACGTGGTTGTAGAGCCTGTCGCATTAGCTAAAGTAGGAGACGGAGGAAGAAAAAACTGACTGAACCAAACTGATGAAACTATCTTAGCAATAACATCTGAATCGTACTCTTATATATAAGCGTGACAGTTAGTAATACTATAAATTTTCTTGTTCTTCATGGGAGTACTTTCCTATAGCCTATGGTCTTGATATCTCTGTTTAGGAGGATGAATCCATAGCTTTTAGTGCTCTGGATTATAATAATGTATTTACGTCTGTAATTCCTAACTTTTAACCACAACCAAATGCCACAATTTACCTAAAATACTCCCGACCCAACCAACGAGCTCGAGGAAACGAGAACAATGAAGATTCGATTAATCTTTTTGTTATTTTGAACATGAAGACTTTTTTTTTGCTATGTAGTAGATTTTGAAGTGTAATGGTTATAAAATGTTTGATATTATTATGCATATATATATTGGATATGTGTTGGGTTTGTTTTAAAAAACAGCTTTGGTAAATATAACAAATCTGTAAAAAATATTAAAAAAAAAAAATACTATACCGTGGACATGTCCTCGATATAGGTTTTAACTGTAAAAACTGTTAGAAACCTTTCCCGACGACATGTCGTCGGTATAGCCCTCCATGTCCCGATGACATGTCGTTGGTATAGATATATAATAATTTTTATTTTACCTCGAAAATCTTTCCTAACGATCCTTTATAGACGCCAAGTCGTCGGCATAGTTAGGTGGATCTATACTAACAACATTTTTGACTTTTGTCGACGGAGCTATACCGACGACTTTGTACGGTCGAGAAGTCGTCGGTATAGATTTTACCGACGACATGTCGTCGGCATAGGTGTTGAAAAAGTTGTCGGTATAGAACTCGTTCGTTGTAGTGAAAACTATACTTATTTAACTGTTTATATATGAACTTTTATCTTATTTAATTAAAAACTGAATTATTATTTTAAGAATACATAGTTTTGATAATAATATTGAAACGCAAAGTTCAAGTAACTGGACAAAGAAGAAAATATTATAACACTTGCGTTTTCGCCAAGCCGGCCAGTTTAAAAATTCGATAATTGGATTTATACATGGTTCTTAATTATCTTCAACTAGAATATATCCCTTAAAAGTTTGTAGAGATGATATTGGAATTGCAAAAGTGTATATTAAAATGTCAATAGCGACATGCACTCATTCAAAATAATGCAAAATAAGAATATATATATATTAGGACTTGAAATAAATATAAAAAAGTGGGGTCGGGGATTCCAGGATAAAGGGAGCTCATGCGGGTTTATAAATAGATAGCAGGGGTATAGGGCAATGCATACCAAACCAAATCAATCATATATATTCATACCAATATATACTATAGTTGATCAATGGCACCAGTGACAACAGTGCGTGTGTTCGGGAAGCCAATCACTCATGCTCATCATGGAAGTCGTCACCAAAGGGCCCTAGCAGCTTTGAAGAACATGCACGCCGATGGAAAGTCCGACCAGGCGACGCAGCTTACAAATGAGTTAAAAAAAACGACACCAGCCACTGTAAGCACCACAATTGGTAAGGTTTACAATGCCACTGGTGATGAAGTGAAGTACGTGACTGTAAAGAATTGGAGCGGATCTGTCGTTGGGACGTACCCTGTAAGTATCATGAACGGCCAGTGGGCTGTTTTTCAGCATGTTGGCACCAAAGGCAAAGATCGCCAAGGATCAGTTGCTGCTGTTGTATACGGCATCGAGGATTTGGCTGATATGATGATCGCTTGGAACAACCCTTGGAAAACTGCCACGGGAGGAAATAACAATGTAAGTTTATTATAGAAGCATGCATTCATGCTTCATATTAATTAATTAATTAATATTTTTTATTTATTAATTTGTATAAATTCTACACTCTAGGCTTACTGTGAGATGAACGGCCCGGGATACTTTGGTGATTCATATGACTGGGATGCAGCTTACCAAAAGTTGCTCAAGTCTGAGATTGAAACCACAACAACTATGAGTGGTTATGGAACAAAAGTGAGCATTGAAGCAGGTGGCAATGCTCCGATCTACACTGCCATTTTCTATGTTGAAACTTGAAACCTCCAACAATAATAATAATAATAATAATAATAATAATAATAAACGACTTGGCTGTTCTGCTATCAGCCACGTACGTACTTTGTTTTCTAGCTAGTTCTCGATCGAAAAGAGATGAAAAATGTATTTGTGCTTTCTAATTACCGATAAGCCAAACTTATTACTATCGGGTAAGTTGGCTTATATGATGTTTCCATAAATAAAAAATATATCTTTCGTTGTCTTTGATCTCACTCAAACTACATATAGCTTATTTGTATTGTGATTATATATAGAGAAATTAAGTAACTTTTATATTTTCTTCTTACTCGTCCTTCAATCCATATCATCCTTCAATCCATATCAAATCCTTAGATCCATATTAAATGATGATATGTGTTATATTTAATAAAATTAATAATATTTTAATCAATTTGACACCATTTAATATGTATAGGAGGTTAGACATAAAAATTTTTTAGAAGAATATTTAATTTCTCTTATATATAATCTTGTACATGTACAAGGAAGACTACTAAAATATTGTCTCATGCTCTTTCAATTCGGTATAGGATCGATTTTTGAGCATCATCCAATTTAATTTTTCAATACGATTGATATATTCAATTCACTATAAAGGCTTTTAGGGACAGCATTTCGACATGCACTAGACAAATAATGAGTTATATATATATATATATATATATATATATATATATATATATTATATATATATATATATATATATATAGGAAGGGTTATTTGGAAAACAAAAAAACCTTAAAAAAACCCTAAAAATCATAAAAATGAATAAAAAAATACTTAGAGATCACAAAACTTTTTTTTGAAAAAATCGCAGCTTTCTATACAAATTCGCTGAAAAAAATTTTGAAATTTTTTTTTATTTTTATAAAAAAAAATAATAATAATTGATTTTTTATTTTTTTTTCAACGAATTTTAAGAAAAAGCTGCGATTTTTATAAACAAAAATTAAAAAAAAAGTTTTCTAATCTCTAAGTATTTTTTTTTTATACATTTTTATGATTTTTAAGGTTTTTTTTAGGGTTTTTTGTTTTCCATAAAACCTAAACCTATATATATATATATATATATATATATATATATATATATATATATATATATATATATATAGAGAGAGAGAGAGAGAGAGAGAGAGAAAGAGAGAGAGAGTGGTTCAAATGAGAACCAAAAAAAGTTAAGAACTCTAAAAACCATTTTTAATTTTTTTATTAATGGCATTTTCGAGAAACCAACCATTAATATATTATATTAAACAAAACTTTTCCATTTTGTAGTTTACAATTATTTGTCGGTTGTTGTCGGAACGTCGTCGGACTGCCGTCGGACCACCTCCGGACAGCCGCCAGAGTAACACCAAAATCAATGACACTTTCATGGGTGTATTCACAGCTTAATAGAACAAAATTTATAGTTCTCATTTTTTGGTGATGATTTAACATATCATTTCATTTTTACAGCTAAATATACAAAATTTAAATAAAAAAAAATATAAGTATATCCGGACAAATTCATTTTTTTTTCTAAATTGTAGATTTCGTTAAGAAATATATTGTGTATAAGATATATTTACAGTTTAAACTACCATATTCACAGTTTAATGAACATATAAATTCACTAATACAAAGTTTAATAGTTCATTCATACCTTCATTCATATTTTTTGACAAAATTTATATAAAATATACAACTTAATAAACTCCATTTTTAGTTTAATACATAAACTTCACAACATAACATAATACAATTTTTTATACACTAATTCTCATATATAAAGATGTCAAACCCAAACTCTACCACCACTAACTACCACACGCCACGACCAACCACATGTGTCACCGTCGCAATCATTCCTCCTTTCCAACTTTGGCCTAGAGAGCTTAAATACTCTATTCACAACTTAATAAACCAATTAATTCACTTATTCAAAGTTTAATGCAAAATAATTATAAAAACTAATACATTTTTACATATTTGTATAACAAAAAAATTAAATAAATTCACAAGAAAATTAATACAAACATTCATATATAAATCATTCATATTTTAACATAAAATTCATGAAAATTTGCAGCTAAACCAATCAAGTCACAGTTTCAGCAGAAAATTCACAGTTTAATGCAATCAATTCACAGTTTAAATTTTACATACTTAGAGAAATCATATTTATGTATAATGCTTCTTTCATCTCATATTTCAGAAGCAAACACAAAATTCATTAAAAAAAATTAACACAAAATTATTAAAAAATATTCACAGTTTAATACAGTTAATTCACAACTTAATACAATCAATTCACAATTTAATGCACTAAATTCACATTAAATATAATAAATTCACAGTTTAATACAAAAAGTTCACAACTTAATACAATCAATTCATAGTTTAGACTGTATTAAGTTGTGATGCTTGTATTAACCTATAATTTAATTGTATTAAAATGTGATTTTTTTATTAATTTGTGTTTACTTCTAAAATATGAGATGAGAGAAGTATTATACTATGTGTATAATGTTTCTTTCATCTCATATTTTTGAAGCAAATACAAAATTTACTAAAAAAAATCATAGATTAATACATTCAATTCACAACTTAATATATTCATCGCAGCTTAATACAGTCAAATCACAGCATAATACAGTAAATTCACAGTTTAATACAGTCAGTGACAGATCTTAAAAAAAAAAGAAAAAAAAATTTAAGGCATGCAAAGAAGATCCATAAAATAGCTCAAAATTAGGGCATGTGAAAATTACTTAAAAAACATATAATTGTTTTCATGAGTTTTTATTTTTGCTAAATTATTCCACTTACAAATGCAAAAATAAATAAATAAATATTGTTTTCAATTTTAAGCAAAACCACCAACCTAATTATATAGCACAATAAAATTAACAAAATTTACTAATTTACCATTTAAAATTAGAATAAATATATAAAATTTAACAGCCCATAGGATTTTAAAATTTTTAATCATAAATTTTTATTGGAACTAACAAAATAATTAACTATAGACTCACTGAGTACTTACTTACCTTACAAATATTAATTAAAACTATATGAAAGACAAGTACCTATATTATTAAGGCTGCAAACGAACTGAACGTTCAACGAACTGTTCGTTCAACGAACTGTTCGTGAACCGTTCGGCCGAAAGTTCGTTTATGTTCGTTTATTTAATAAATGAACGAACATGAATTTTATTTAATAAATAAACCTTAATAAGCATTTAGGCCTTAATGCTGAATTTTAAGAGGTACAATTCTTTATACGATTTGTACAATGACTTTATGCACTAAAATTGTTTCCGCTCTGCAACAGTTTTTGACTCGGTCCCCGCCTTTAATCCCGGCTCTATGGTTATCTAAATAAACTGATTCTATGGCTTCCCCTATATATCAAATCCTTTCTTCCTTATTTTTCTGATTCTCACGCTATTTTCAGTTTAAAATTTTGAAATCTTTCCTCACTATAAAATGCTTCCCCTTCTCTCAACCATCTCTCCTTATCTCTAAGCCTAATTAGCTGCCAGGCACACCAGCTCCACCGTCTCACACCATACCAGGAGTACACACCTTGAACAAGTCAAGACCATCATACCATCGCTATTAGACCCACTTGAAACCTAACCCCCCCTCTCTCTCTGGCGTTCTCTCTCTCTCTCTCTATATATATATATATATATATATAGATATATAATATAGTATATATATAATAGATATATATTATATATATATATATATTATATCTATATATCCAAACATAGGTTAGTGGTGGGTTTCTTGAAATGGAATATTTGAATACTGATGATTGAAGGTTTCCAGCGATTAGAAGTCAAATAGGTAATCTTTATTTCCTCCCTTTCGATTCCAATACTCTGGGCATATTTCTTCATTTTTTTGTGAAATATTGTGTGTGTGTGTGTGTTTTTATTCATGTTCATATGTGTATGTATTTGTATGTGTATCTGTCTAATTTTCTATGTATGTATTTTTCTAAAATATAGGTGGAGACCCAGTTGATTTTGATTGTTTGGAAGCTAGGGCTTGGTTCACTAATTACCAGCAGTTCTAGAAGTGAATATGGTTCCATCATAGGGTTTTTAACAAGTGAGTTTTTTTTTCGTTTTTATATCCTTTTAAGAACCTGATGTTGTTCATTTCTATAAATCTAATCTTAGGATTTCAGGGTCTGATTTGTAGCTTACAAAGCTAGGGATTGGAGCTATTCATTGCGCGATACTACATTTTGGCTGTTAAATCTTCTCTAGGACAGAACATAGTAAGCTTATTCTTTATTTTATTTTCTCAGCCATCCTTTCAATTTCAATTTTGGATTTCAAATTGTGAAAATTACCCAGACCTATGAGTTAGTACTTTTGTATTTGGAATCCTAGCTCCTTTCCATTTCACTCAACTTTCTCACACAATAAAGCCCTAGCTGGTTACTAAAACAACGAATCACCACCATCATGATCGGTCGGCCACCACCACCATGATCGCCAATGCCCATCTCCATCACCATACAACCGCCCCATTATTTAAGTAACAGAATGCATGGGTTGAAGCTTCGTGAGGGAATATCATCAATCACTCTTGGTGTAATCCATTTCTAACTTTAATTAGTCATACATATCAATCAATTTTAATCGTCATTTGCTTAATTGAAAGTAAGTGAAAAATCTAAGTTTTTATTTTTTTTTTCTTCCTTACTGTGTGAATATGTATTTATGTGTGTTGGTGTCTGTATGTGTGTGTCGCTATGGGATAAGAAGAAGGTGAGCAAGTGGTGGATCTGGTTATTTTTCTCAAATGGGCCGGTAAGATTTTAATTAAAAAAACTTTATGTGTTCCTTGGATCATGTGTCGGTAGGAGGATGCTTCACAACCAATGTTAATAGTTTTTTCTAAACTTTATTATCAAAATCTATAATATAATTATTTTTTGTTTTAAAAATTGGTTTGTTGTTCATGAATTTTTTGAGTGTAGGTG